ATGGCTCCAGGCCTTGTGTTAGTCGGATTTCCACTGCTGTGACAAAAAACCTGGGAGCAATCAACTTAAAGGGGGAGGGATTTATTTTGGCTCACGGGTTCAGAGGTTTCAGCCTCCGGTTGGCTGGTTCTCTTTACATTGGGACTGAGGTGAGGCAAAACCTCACGTCAGGGACGTGTAGCAGAGCAAAGCTGCTCACCTCATGGTGGCCAGGAAGCAAAGAGAGAGAGAGAAAGAGAGGAAGGAGCCAGGGACAAGACAGAGTCCCCAGGAGACTCTGCCCAGGGGCAGGTCCCACCTCCTAACTTCCCACCAACTCCTAATCTCCTTTCAAGTGACAAGCCATCAATGAATTAATCCACTGATGAGGCCAGAGCCCTCAGGCTCCAATCACCTCCCCCAAAGCCCTCCTACACTGCCTTGGGGACCGAGCTTTCAACACGTGAGCATTTAGGGGACACTCCAGATCCCACGCCACAACAGCCCTGTCACAACACGAGAACTCATACTCTTTACATGCATTCTTGAGGATGTCCCCAGTACCCGTCACAGAAAATGCAAGGGTCTAAAGTAGAGAGGCAGTCAGGAGGCAGGGAGAAGGAAGAGGAAGCAACCTCGTGCATCGACCCCAGCACACACGTGAGCTGTCCTCACCCTTGATGTCCACCCTGCTCCGAGGGCTACCCGGAATCCAGGACCCATCTCCCCCAGATTTCCTTCACTTCTCTGTAAAGGAAATACATCCTCTGCCTTAGGAAGCTGGAACAGAGTTCTACATGCCAGGTGGTCCCAGGGCCACTCCTCTCCTGTGGCCACATTTTCCTCCTAACACACACAGGAGCATGCACACAAGAGAGTGTCTTCTTTTGCAGGGTCTCTCTGTTCTCTAAAGTTCCCAGAACTCAGCACAAATGATTAACTCTGTACTAAGCACCAGGAGGACCGAGCAGGCTGTATCTCACTCTGCACTTTACCCCAAGCCTCTCTCAATCACCATCTGTGAGCAAATGAATGAACAAATGATCATGTGACCCATCTCATGTGATTCTAGCAGGCTCTGTGGGGAGGTAAAGAGACTCAGGAGGGCCCTGAGGCCACACAGTAAGCACAGCTGCAACCCCAGCTCTGTCCCTAAAGCTGCTTCCCCCTATAGCCTCCTGAAGAAAACTAGGTCCCCCCAACCCCTGCAGCTGGACTTGAGAAAATGGAGATTTCAGGTCCTGGTTAGGAGTGTGATCTGGAGTCAGGCTGCCTGGACTCCTTAGCAGCACATGCTAGCTGACCTCTCTTCTCCTCAGGGTCCAATAGAACAATAGGGATGATGACAGTGAGGTGCAGTGAGGTGCAGAGGAGGGGGGCCCCGGGAGTGGTAAGAAGGGTATTCAATTATTGAGTCCTGGGTGGCTAGGCATTGGGTTTCTGCCCTTGGCTTGACTACAGGCAGCACTGACTGACAGGAATGGCTGTGAGTGGGTTCAGAGAGAATTTTTAAGCCAAAATGAGAAGCAAGACTTCAATGTAGGTAGAAAACTTGTTCATTTTTACTCCAGCAGGTGACAGGATCCAAAAGGAAAAGAGTTCCAGGAAAGTACTGGGTCCCCCATTCCCAGGGTGGGTGATGGGATTGTCCTAGTTACTAAAGGTGAAACATGTCAGCTAGGCAGGGCGCACACTCCATTCATGGTGAGGAACCAGACTCAGAGGGCAGGTGCCCCGGACACTACCAGCTCTCAAGTCACTTTCAGAACTGGGACCAGTACCTTCCCCCAAGTCCCTCTGGTGAGAAAAGGACCCATGGGCCTTTCTCATAACCAACAGGCTGCTGGAGCAACATGCACCAGCCCCGTTCCGACCTAGCCTAGCCTCGGCCAGGACCAGCCAGGGGTGAAAGGAAACCTCCCCTCCAGCCTGAAGGGGCGCTCACTTCAAGAAGTTAGTAAAATGCCTTCCCCTCCCTCACCCTGTTTTGTTTTGTGGCACAGCTGAGATCACTGTAAGGAATTGGAACCACAGGGGCCTGCCAACGCATCTATTAATCAAATTGTTATTTGATATTTTGCAAAAGGGAAATTTTTTGTCATATAAATTGTACTGGCAAAATTATCATGTCCCCTATTAGAACTGTTTTCCTAAAACACTGCCTGTCAAGCCTTCATACCACAGTAACCCCTGCTCAATTCCCGGGTGTGAAGGGGGCAGACAGAACTCCTGCAAGCTCCCTGGCATCTCCCATGTTCTTCTGCCATCCAGGCCTTTGCTTAGGCCCTTCTCTGTGCCAGGAGCACTCCAGTCACCATGCTCCCAGTCCTGCCCACAAACTCAGGGGATGACTTCTCCTCCATACAGTGCCAGTTTGCACACTGCTTCCTCCAAGAAGTGTTCTCTGACTGCCACGAAGATTTGGTTCAGCAAAAGGGGATGCCCCATGAAGGAAAGGGTGGGCTGGCCAATTACAGCTGCAACAGCTGCTCCTTCTCAGCTCCTGGCTGGGAGCTCCAGTCTTAGCAAAACCTTCAGAACAGTCTTTAGTTAACCCATACTGTCCTACCTGAGAAGGAGGATGCTACAAATAATGGCAAATAAGAATAACACCCCCACCCAGGTTCCCTCCCTCAGTTCTCAAAGCAACCTAACAAGTAGGATTCCTTATTTCCATTTTACAAATGAGGGAACCACCACACCATCTCACGCACGGTCCTTTACTTCAAATAGGAAGCTGGTTTTCAGTGCCACAGGCACCCAGGCTCTCTGCCAGGACCTGAAGACCAGTGAGCTGGGCTCCCCACTCCTGCCCCCACAATCCAGCAGAGTAGCACGCACAGCCCCAAGGTGGGGGCCTTGGGCAGGGCCAGGAGGGGCTGCACGAGCCCTACAGAAGAGGCACCTTATCTCATCTTAGTGCATTAGGCCCTTCCAACCCCCACCTCCTGACTGGGAAACTTCCAGGAGCTGCGGCACAGGCCACATGGTCCTGTGCCAAGTCCTCTCTCGCCTTTGTTCTCCCTCCCAACATGACTTTCTTATAATCAGACAGAAACTTTGTGGCTGGAGTCAGAGGCCAAGAAAGCTTTGGAGAAAACACAACTGTCTTTCTCAACACCCTCCTTCTCCCCACTCCCTCCTGCCCCGGGGCTCAGTACAGCCCAACAGGACACAGGACACAGGAGACAGGACAGACAAGCAGCTTGTCTCTGCCACTTGACAAGAAAGACCAGGGCCGTCTGCATGTCAGGAGCCTATGGTCACCGAATGAGTTTGAGCAGATTAGCCACCGGGCTGTCTGTCTTTCCTATGATCCCTTTTTAAGTGCAATTTCCTTGTGAACCTCACAGCTCTCTGGAGTCCAGGGATAGGGCCATACCTCCCCTTTCCCCATGGCCCCATCTAGGGCTGCAGGCTACTGAAAGGAGCCAGCCTTCTGGCCCCTCTTCCCAGACCACACCAAACTAAACTGGCAAAATTCAAGAGACAAAAAGGGTTCCGTTCTTCTCGTGAAAGTGGGCACCGAAGGTTGGGAGTCTTTCTGTGAAGAAAAACCACTGAGGCAGCAAGCCATTACCGACTAGCAACAGCAAGCAGGACAGAACAGTGATAGGGGACATGGGGACTCCTGGGGCCTGAGAGTTGAGCTAGGCCTTCTCTCTGGACCTGTCTCCTCATCTGTAAGGTGTGTGGTCCCTGAAGTTGCTTACATTTCCAACAGGAGTTTCCCTGCTCAGCTCCAGTGTCCCCTCTGGGTTTTCACTAGCCCTTGGTGGTGACTCTAATGTACCTCCAAGAAGCCCCCCCATGACTCTTGGCAGCAACACTAAAGCCCTATGCCTTCCCACACTGTCTCCAAACCCAAGAAGCAATCGGGAACATGCCAAGGCCAGCGCCCAGAACAACCAGAGCTCAGCCACAGTGAGCCTGGAACTGCGACACCACTCCCTTCCCCCTCCCAAAGGCCCCCCTGGACTCTCCAGGAGCATTATCTGAATAGTGACCTTTTGACCAAGGAGGAGGGTGGTCATCAGAGAATTCAAAAGAGGCTAAAGTAAACCAGGGATAAAGATTCTGAGATTCCAAGGGTGGTCCCAAACTAGGCCCCCAGAAGAAACAAAGACTCCTGGAGGGCTGGGCCTGGCTAATGGCTCTGAGAAGCCACGGGTCAGCAGAGAGGTCAGAGATCAGGACTCTAGGTTGGGGGGGAGCGGGGGATGCACTACTGCTCTGATCCACAGGCTTTGTTACTGCCCCTTCTCCCCCAGGCCTTGAGGATTAGGGAGAAGGGGCAGCCTGGGTGAGCACCATCATCTGGGTGCTGTCACTCCCAGGGCTGGGGATTGGGTTCTGTGCACCCCCCCACCGCCATCTGTTAGAGGACACTCCATCCCCCTTGCCACAGGGTTGTAGGTTTGAGAGTGGCCTGTCCCCTCGTCTACTTGGACATGGAGCCTCGCAAGAACACTGCCTTGAGTCTTCTGTGTCTGGGCAGGTCAGGCAGAGGGAGTAGCCACCCCCTCCCCCCGGCCCGGAGCCCCCACCCCAGCTATCACCCTAAACACCTCCAGACTGCCCTTTTACTTTCTAATTTCTCTACAAATGATTGCCCCACACTCTAGTCTCAATTTGCCCATCAGCAAGATGGGCATAACATCCCCCTCCCACCCGGTCTAAGAGAAGCACACCGGAGTGGGAGGGGCAGTAGGAAAAGCTACACCAAAGGCGCAAAGTGCTCTCCCCACCACCACCCATGGCCCAGGGTGGGGTCCGGACCTCCTTTGCGGGGTGGCTGGGAGAGGGTCCGCTGGAAGGTGTGTTTGGGAAGTGGAAAGACCCATCTTTAAAACAACGGGAGTGTTTGGGCCCAGTCAGGCGAGGGGAGGGGGGAGGGGACGTCTCCTGGACCTCCAGGCCACGCAGCTCTGGGGACACAGCGGTCCCGGGGCGGTCCAGGTGAGAACTTCCAAGGAATGCAAGGCCTGGGGTGGGAGACCGTGGGCCAGGGGCGCCCCTACCTGGGGCCGCCAGCAGCGAGAGGCCGCCGAGCAGCAGCAGCAGCAGCGACAGCGACAGCGGGACGGGGCGCGACGGCTCCATGGGGACGGCGGGCGGGCGGGCGGCGGACAAAGGCGCGGCGGGCAGCGCGCTCCACGCTCGGAAGAGCCTCGGCAGCCAACGCGGGGCCGGGCCGCGCCGTTCAATTATCCCGCCCGGAGGAGGCGCGGCGGGGGCGGGGGCGGGGCCGCGGGTGTCCCTCCCCGCCGCGCTCCGGGGCCCTCAGGGACCCTCCCTCCCGCCCCCGGGCGGCTGGGGGCGCGCTGCCACGCTGGGGGTGGGAGTGCAGGCCAGGCTCCCCGGCAGGGGCGCACAGCCCGGGGCGCATTCGGGCCGGATGCGCCCCACCCAGCCCCCAGCCCCGCGCCTGCGACATCCGATCCGCTCCCCACCCGCCAGCCAGCCGCGCGGGCTCAGGATCCAAGGTTAGCTCGGCCCGACCGGCTCGCGGAAAGGACGGGGTCCCCGCAGAGCCCGGTCTTAAGTGTCCGTGATCTCTCGGAGCGGGAATAAGGGCGCGGGCCACTCGCGGCTCCCCGCGCGCGAACCCCGCACCCTCCGTCTGCGCCTTTCCCGCCTTTGCCGCCCGAAGCCCGCGCATGGCCAGGTCTGCGGTTGTCCCGGGCTGGGATCCGACTCTGCCCTTAAGGACTGCCTGTCGGAAGGCGGGAGGACCGAACAGACCCCCCACTCACAGCACCGGTGAGATGAGATGGGCTCGCCGGGACCCCAAATCCTAAACCGAAAAGAGAGTTTGACCCAGAAAGTCACTGGCGCCCCCCCCCCACCACCACCACCAGGAGGCAGCGAAAAATTACGCAGGGCTGGCCGGAGCCGCTTTGCGCAGGAACGCATGGCCGCCGCCAGCCAGTGGTTATTACCAAGGACAAGTCAGTCCGTTGGAACCACAGATAGTCTTACTTTAAAAACCCAAACCTGGGTGCAGGGATCGACCGGTAGCCCCTGGAGGCGCCCATAGGAACTGCGGTTAGCTGGATGTATGGATCCTGGACGTGACAATTCCATTCCCATAATATACCCCGCAGAATAAAACGCAGACACACATGCACACAGGCAGAGACATAGCTAGAATGTTCCTGGTGGCACTGTCCATCACAGCCTCCAAGGGGGACTCGCCAGACACCATGCTCAGCAGAATGAGTCCCCAGATAGTCACTCAAGGGAGGATCGACAGCTCATACAACCGGGTGAATCTCACACCAACACATACTGTGAGGCTTTGTAGGAAGGACAAGGAGAGGTCAGAAGTGAGGAGACTGGAGATACCCAGGGTGGGCAGTGTCTGTAGCTAACGTGAGGAGGCAGATGGGGAGCAGGATTTGTTTGTTTGTTTTTTGGCTGTACTCTAATTTGAACTCAGGGCTTTGTGCTTGCAAGGCAGGCGCTCTACCACTTGAGCCCAGGTCCCAGCCCTAGAAGTTTTCTTAATGTGGGTGTTGGTTACAAGACTGGATTCAGTTTGTGAAAGTACATCAAGCAGTTCACTTCTGAAATGTGTTCTTTTATTTTACTCTATTTTATTTTGAGACAGGGTCTCACTATGTCTCCCAGGCCAGTATCAAACTCCTGGGCTCAGATGACCTTCCTGCCTCAGCCTCCTGAGTATCTGGGACTATAGTGGAGAACTACTATTCCTAACTGCCCTTTTCTGAATGAATTCAGTTCAATTTTTGTTTTTAAAAAACAAAAATCTCATTTCCCTACAAGATGCCTCATGCTTGAGGTTTACAGAGAGCCCGGGAAAGCTGGAGAAGGGGCCCTCATTCTAACTGCCTCCCAATAAAGGAGGACTCCCAGCAGAGGTGAGGTGGGGCTTGCTGTTGAAAGGTTGGCAGAGGGGTGGGAAGAGCAGAGGAAACAGCCTCTGTGAAGGCTCAGTGGCAGCTGGGCACTAGGGGAGATGATCAGAGATCATTTTGATGTGGGACACCCAAGTATATGCACATATGCAGAGCCTGTGGGGAGGTGGTCATGAGCCGATAGGTTTCATACCCATTAGTATTTGCTATTGAGAATTTGATGGCTTTGTGTGTGTGTGTGTGTGTGTGTGTTTGTTTGTTTTTAGCCATAGGGAAATAAGAGTGCTCTGGAAAGAGTGTAGAGGACTAAAAGAAAGTGGCTGAGGCAAAGGGGGCACTTGTGGGGGAAGGTCAGCCAGGAGACTATCAGAAATAGGCAGAGAAGAGGAATGAAGCCAGAAGATGTCCAAGAAGGGTTGGAAGAGTGGTTCTGGCTGTAGCTGCTGAGTGGAGCCCAGGATCACTGAAGCAGAACCAGTAAGTCCAGATGGGGTTGCAGCAGTTGGCCCTGGTGATGTAGGAAGGTAGTGGCTGGCATGTAGTTGGCAGAGTAGGAGTTGTGGAAATGGGGCAGGAGGAGTGGGTGACTCCCACTCATTCCTGTGGGCACCAGCACTGCCCTAAGTGCTGGACAGAAGGATCATGGGGAGGGGAGGCCTATGTCAGGCTTGCAGCAGCTGGGGAGGGCCAGGCCAGGAAGAGGCAGGAGCAGGGAAGTCCTCAGCCTGCCCTGAGGCTCCATCAGCTCACTCTGGTTCTAAGCTCCCTTTTCTTAGGTCCTTGTCACAGGCCTGTCTTCCAGATCTTCTTATCTAATGGCTAGTGACTTGGTAAGTCAGCCACCAGGTGTCAGGGAAGCTGGCAACCACTGGGAACTCTCAGAGTCTGGAGGTGGTGACCAAGATTGAGAGGAAGGGACAGCTCTGAGGCCAGAGTACCCAGATCCAATCAGGCTTGTCCACTTCCTGGCTCTCTAACCTTGAGTATGACACTTACCCTCTCTGTACCTCATGTCAAATGGAGCTAGTAAATGGTGACAGTGGTGGCAACAAGGTGCCCTCAGTAGCAGAACAAGAGAGCACCAGTCCTGCCCTCCTACTCACTGTCGCCTGGACTTGGGCAATTCTCTTTTCAGGCCTCAGTTTCCCCATCTACAAAGTGAAGGATATAGACCAGACTGTGTTCAGGGATACTTCAACCACCAAATCTCAAGCTGATTCTAGGTCCCTTCTCCAGTTCTGGGTAGACCTCAGCTCTTAGATACCCATGGGGGGATCACAAGCCTGAGATTCTTGCAGTGCAGGTGAGTGATGCACAGGCGTTGGGAGAGGCAATCTGCCATGGGTGTCAGGATCCCCACACAGTCCTGCCAAGTGTGCCCAAAATGCACAGCCCTGTGTCTCAGGGTTATGTGTCAGCAAGCAGGCTTGAGAGCAGAGGGGATGTTCCCCTCCAGACAAGTTTACCCTAAAAGCTGTTGAGTTCCCTGTCAAAATCCACATGCATATCAGTCCCTAACAGAAACAACAAATCCAGCTGGGAGGTTGGGAGGGAGTGTGTCTCACACATGATTGACTGGTAGCAGGAACCATCCCAGGAAACTGCCAGGGCCTCAGCCTTGCGCAGAAAATACTTCTGCAAGTATGTCAGTGATTTCTTGTCCAACCTTGGATGGACACCACCACCTTGTTACTGTAGCCAAGACTCACCTCTCAAAACAATTTGTGTCATCCTCCTTATTTTGCTGTTAAAAACTTCCCCTTGCCTCAGCTTCCTGGATGATGCTGTTTGTCATGGTGTTCACATTCCCACTGCAGTGGCACTCCAGAATAGACTCTCTCTGGAGAACCTCCGAGCTCATATGTAATGCAGCCCTTGTGCCAGGCATCCATTATGAGCCCTCAGCCTCAGCCGCCTGAGACCTGGGACACACCAGGAGTGGGGTGCTAGCCTCAGGCCAAAGCTCTGGCCACTGCTTTTATAGCCAGTAATCAAATTCCTTGCATTTGCCCCAGAAGTCTCAGAATAGAGGTTATCAGGGCTGGGATTCGAATCTATTTCCTCTAACTCCCAACCTGGGCTCTCCTGAAAGCCACTTTGTATCCAGGCTTCTGTTTCTCACTGAACATCAGAGTCTCACTAGGGCACATCTAGTGAACAGACAGTATGAAAGTTATATTCGCACCTAGTTAGCCATTCTGTCATGAGACATTTAAATTTTACAGGGCTAGAAACCATGGTGCAGTGTAACCTGAGCTCAGAGCTGGACTGTGTCCCGGAGGTGCCTGGCATGAATGCCCTGGAAAAAAGTGACGACTTCACATCAGGCAGGATTGGGGTTATGGCTCAAGTGAGAGAGCGCCTGCCCAGCAAGCATGAGGCTGGGAGTTCAAGCCCCAGTACCACAAGAAATAAAAGAAAAAAGATACATCAGGCAGACACAGAAGCTGTGCTGCTCTGTCTCCCTCCCCTCTTTCTACCAGCAAAACAAAAACTGTGTCATTTTAATGTATGTCTCTACTTATCGGAGCATTTCTCCTGTGTTTATGAGCCATTTGCATTTCTCTTTGTGCTGCTTATTTCATAACTTGTACTCTTTTAGTTTAATAGAAGAATTATTTACAATAGCAAAAATCTAGAAGAAGGGCAAAGTCCAACAACAGCCCACCCTTGATGGAACTACAGTAGTCAATATTCAGCCATTCAATACTGAAAATGCACAATAGTCTGCTGGAATAGAAATATGGTTATTTGAGAACTAATAGTATGTGAAAACACAGAAAACAAAACTGAGCGCCGGTGCAATTACAGCTGTGCAAAAGCTGCATTAATGTGGCTAAGGACCAGAAGGAAACCAAACGAAGGTGGATATTGTGTTTGATGAGTGAGATTTTTATTTTTAATTTTTCTCATATGTAATTTAACTTTTTTAGGGAACAGTTGAGATCAGAATAATTGTGCCAGAAACCTAGAGTGATGTAATCATCACACCTAAAGTTGGCCCTGAGTTTCTTGGCAACCAAAGCAAAACTCCGGTTCTGATAACTTCTATGGTTCCTGTTTTCTGGCTGCGTTATCAGGAGAGATAAGGGTGTTTCTGGCACTGAATTTGCATCTCTTTCTTAGTCTTTATGTAAGAGTTGAGAAAGTTGATGAGCTGCACATTTGCTTGTCGTTTGAAAAAAAAAAAAAGTAAGAGACTGGTCTTCAGAGAGGTT